TATATATATTATATTATATACACGCACATAACTTCCTTGACGTCAAAGCAAATATTGTTGGCAAAATGATATAATGTTGTCTCCCTACTGCTACAAGTAAAACCAAATTATTAGGAATTCATTGACCAAGCTAAAAAAAAAATGTTAGTTCACTAAAAAAAAAATATTGACGGGTAGTGATGATTTATAATAAATATAAGAGAATGTGGTGTGTGTGTGTGTGTGTGTGTGTGTGTGTGTATGAGATAGATAGATATATAGATAGATAGATAGATAGAGAGAGAGAGAGAGAGAGAGAGAGAGAGAGAGANAAAAAAAAAAAAAAAAAGATCAATAAATAAAAGACTAAACACACGTGAGAACTGAATAGTGCAACATTGAGCAGGAAAGAAACATCGTATTCAACTGGGAAGGGGTGCGAGAAAAGGAAGGGCGTAGCCCCTTGGTGATATGAAGAAATGCCAAACACCTTGCTAACATACGTAATCCATGAATGTTTTATACATGATAAAAGTACAAAAAAACAAAAGATTGCACAATCATGCGTGTTTTATGAAGTTGTTGAGTATGACTGCATCCAAAAAACACATTTGCATCCAAAAAACAATCTGGATAAATGCTAGAGATTCACAAATATCCCCGACTTACACTCCTTATCATGGCGAAATATATACCTTACAGTTTCCAAGTCCCATCTATATAACAATGAAAAAAACTATGGGTTGCCCAACCATGCCCTCAAAGTAAGTAAATGGAGAGGTATACAAATATGAGATCGATGTGTTTTTCTGCATTTTTGCTTACACGATGGAGGCGGGAATGAAGTAGACGGGAGACATGACACTTTGCAAAATATTTTCCTGTTAGTTGTTCCCCTGATCGCTCTACTCCCTGACCACCGCTTGTTAGGGTGGGGGACAACATGCGTCCTCTTGATTGTGAGAGGTAGTTATGCTTGCAGAGGTACCCTGCATAGGCTTAGGGAGTAGTTGTAGGAAGGTAGTGAAAGGTGAAATTGAGAAAAAAAAATTGAGGCGAGCAAGCGGCCTAACTCAGTTGATAAGGTACGCAAGTGTCATTCAAGAGGTTGTGCGTTTCATCGCATTGATCACATGTGACACTCTTGGTGCCAGCCAACTTAGACAGTTGACTTGCTTCCCCTGTTCGGTATTAGTAGGGTCTTTGGCTATCACGGGGGTGAGTGTTTGCAGTCCTAAAACTGCGGTATAATCGGCTTCGATGTTTGTGTCGAGGTGATGTATTTTCGATTGCGAGCGACCAGCGCACAAGTTGATCCTTAGGGGTTAAAAATGTAAGGGGGACTGATCCTTGGTGGTATTGTGGACGATTTACAAGTAACACTTTTATAATCGGGACTTTTTAAAAAAAGGAGTGTCCGATCGTTAGGCGGAAGCGGACCCCCAAAAAAAGTAAGAAAGGGAGATATTGTCGGGAGTCCCAATTGTAGGCAATTTGCAAGAGGTAACTTTACCGTTTTTTTTTGCTTAGAATAACTCACAGAAAAAAAAAAAAAAAAAAAAAAAATCCAAAAATTTTGAGAATCGTAAATTAGTATGTGGTATTTCCAAGAAGCATATAAGAAAGGTTAAACCACCAGTACCGCGCTCAGTGTTCGGCCGCGGGCCTTCCCGTATACGCACCGCAGCCAAAGGCTGGTCGGCCAAGGGAAGGCCCGGTCGTAGCGCCAAGGCCGGACCCCGCTTCTGTAGGGACGACACACGATCATAAAAGAAAGAAAGAAAAAAATGAAATACACAAACGAAAAAAAAAAACAACGGGAAAACAATTGAAGTCGTGTGTGTGTGTGTGTGTGTGTGTATGTGTGTGTG